TTCCATTCTGTGATTAAATTCATTGTTTGTCTACTCACAACCTGATGGATATTTAAGATTATTTAAATTTTAATAGGGGAGGTATTTTTTGCATGCTCATGTGTGCATAGCTTCTCAATAGTATACGTCTAGACTGGACCTTCTGGGGTGAAAGGTAACTTTACCTGAGATATATTCAACTTTAAAAAACATTGTAAAGCAATTACACTCCAAAATTATCCTGCATTGGTGACACTTGGAAACAACATAAAGATATACTGGCCGGACACGGTGGCTTACGCCTGTAATCCCAGCACTTTGGGAGGCTGAGACAGGCAGATCACGAGGTCAGGAGATGGAGACCATTGTGGCCAACATGGTGAAACCCTAGCTCTACTAAAATACAAAAAAATAGCCAGGCATAGTGGTGCATGCCTCTAGTCCCAGCTACTTGGGAGGCTGAGGCAGGGGAATCACTTGAACCCGGAGGCAGAGGTTGCAGTGAGCTGAGATTGGGACACTGTACTCCAGCCTGGCAACGGAGTGAGATTTCGTCTCAAAAAAAAAAAAAGAAAGAAAAGATATCCTAGTGACTCCTCTTACTGTTAAAAAATAAAGTAATAAACCACTTTTATTAAAATACCTGTATCTTTGTATATGTGAGATTATTAAAATACCTGTATCTTTATATATGTGAGATGTGTGCAGATTTTTCATTAAGTTTTTAATAGCTGAATTAATACTTTGCCTAAAGGATATAAAAGAATTTAAATAACACTTAATAATGTATTTTGAAAAAGATTAGTAAAAAAACACCTTTTTAGGATACTTACCATAGTAATATGGAAACATAAGGTTATAGATATATCTGAAATTATACATTATATATTTTGACATAACTTGTCTGATATTTAGACATTCAAAAATAGAAAAATGCTCTAACACAGAGTTTCTTTAAGGCCGAAATATCTATTAGGACAGCTATTAATCCTATAATCATAATTCAGTTCCCTACTTATTCTTTAGATTAACTGTATTCATGACATCTGGCAACACCAGGTGAGAGTTTCCAGTTATTGTCATATAGCTGACAATGAGGATATTTAGTATTCTGTCTTCAAAATTTTTCAGTCTGAAGATGTGGATTTTCATTTTGGCTCTGTTATTATCAATCGTATAATGAGAGAATTTCAGAGAAGAAATACTTTGGCACGTGCTGAACACCCTGGCTTGCACCTCTGCTCCCTGATTTTAGCAGGTAGCTGAGCTAAGGCCAGAGTCAGCCCACATTTGGTAGGGTGCTAATGAAAAAACAACACACATAGTATTAAAGGAAGAAACCTCTCATAAATATTTCAAGAATACTAGAAAAAGTGCTTAGAATTTTAGGAACCCCTTATTTAATTTAGAAATCCTGCCAGGCGAGGTGGCTCAAGCCTGTAATCCCAACAGGAGGACTGCTTGTACCCAGGAGGTCCCGAGGCTGCAGTGAGCGATGATCATGCCACTGCCCTCCAGCCTAGGTGACAGGGTAAGACCCTGGCTCTTTAAAAAAAAAAAAAAAAAAAAAGGAATTCTTTTAAATTTATGCTAGAAGACTAACTCTTAATTGACTTCCATATCATAGCTACCTGCATGAGAAAGGGCCTTATTCCAAAAGTTTAGTGTAATAGACATCTCAGTCCCAGGAACTCTGTAATGAAAACACCTGCTGAGAGGACACTAAAGGTATTATGTAGAACATTTAATGTTTACCCATGTTGCTCTTGATAAGTGTGGATCCATTTTGATTTCTTTTGCTTGTGACTTTTTTTCCTTTTGAAACCTTTAAGATCTCTTTATATCCAAGAGAAACATCTAGTGAAGTCCAAGGAAAGGGAAGACAAGAAATTGCCCTTTTTCATTTCAATTCTGGTAGCACTGTTTGGCGTTTTGAACTTGTAGTAAGCATTGTAGAGTCGCTGTTACCTAAGAACTGCAAATGGTGTTGAAGCCCAGCTCTCTCTTCTGGGCTTCAATTTTCTGGGCCGCAAGAACAAGGGTGAGCCATATACCATCATATTCTTATGCATGCTTGTGTTGTATACCCTCTTAGATGGTAATCTTTATGTAATTACTAATTATTCATCTTTGTACATCCTTCACCTGACCTATAAAACAATCTTCACTAGCAAACTTTTGCAAAACAGACCTCTTTAATACACTGTAAATTCAGTTATGCAAGAAATCTCTCTGGGAAGTCCACCATGTGGGGATAGAAAAGCATTGAAAACATTGAATCAGCCTCGGGTAAGCCACGGGTCTTGGCCCTATTCCTGGTGCCTGGAGGGGCATCTCCGTGGGGGTGGCAGGCGAGGAGGAGTCACAGCTAGCGAGGCCTATCAGCACCTTTGCCTCCTAGCCCTGGGACTGTGCATCTCCCATCTCTGACACCCTCCCAGCTAGCTCTGCATTTCCAGTTGTCACCTATTTTTAAATGTCTAAATTAAATGCCACCTCTGGGAAGCCTTCTCTTATCTGTCTGCCCTGCTAATTGCTCTTCTTTTAAATGTATAATGGCATTTAATTTTTTTTCTGGCATTAAGTTTATTTTTGTGAATGATTTTTCTCTTAGTAGCCTATAATTTCCTTGAAAGCCAAACCTGACTCCTCTCTTCCTTTGATTTCTCTGTGCTGTGTGGAACAGTGTGTTGGGGACAGTGGGTGTTCAGGTGTTGCTGCTGTGCAGCCAGAACACACACTGATGTCCCTCTTCTTGCAGGGTTCACCTGGCAAGACAGAGCTGTGTGCATTATTAGCTCAGGTTTCGCCTAGGAGGTTCCTCGTGATAGACTTCCTGTTGGTCCCCAGGAGGACCAGGATCCTTGGGTGATGGTAGAGGTCTTACTGAGTTGCTCTGTGAAGGCAAATATTTTAGAATATTTGAGACTCAGAATTTGTGTAGTTCCAGGAAACACCCCATTGTTAAGTACGTCTTGATCATTATAAGGACAGTTCACATAGGTAATACCAGTTCTTTTTGAAGCGCCAGAATGAACTTATTTATTTTCGTAAAGCAAATTGTAGAACACATGAGGTTTCCTGAAAGTCAAGTGGTAGTCTTAGTTCTTTGTTATCTGGCTTTTGTCATTTCACGACAGGCACAAGCTTTAGTTTAACATTTTTATTACATAGGAATAATAGAGTACATATATTGAGGTTTCATAGATGTAATTTTGTTAAATGTACATCACAGTAGATTTAAAAATGAGGGATTTATTTTGTCATTCATAAAGTTGTAATACAGTCTGGAGAAACTATTTGTTAAAAGATAGTATCTACTTAACCTCCTTATTTGTTTCTTGTAGGAGAAGGTTAGAGCCACAATAAATACATGAAGAAATAAGTAGATAGGGGAATTTATCTTGGAAATAAGATCCCTGTCATGGTTTTGAAATGTTAAATGCATGAAGACCCGTCAAAGAGATATACGGACATGATATTTTTTTACAGTGCATTTCCAAGTATTTAGTTATATTTGTCATTCTCTAGTACTAGTAAGTAACAATCCAATGATATAGTAATTTCAGTTAGTCCATGTTAATGGGTGTAAATATAGTGTATCTCTTTACATATATTATATAGATAAATAAATTGGCAATTTTAATATTAATGAAGCATTTAACTTATATAGCAATTCTTAAATATTTAACTATTTTTATTTCTATTACACTTAAGAGCTACATTTTAAAAATATAACTATATAGAGTAAAAGACAGATTTTTATAAAAGACAATTTTATAATTTGATTCTTAGAAATCCGTGATATTCCAAGTGATGAATTTGTTAAGGTAATTCACATTTGCCTCAAAATAGGAAAGTTAATTATTTGGACCCTGAGATTCTTTATCAGCCATCATGGGGCTAAGGAAATTTGTAAAAGCATGGTTAAAGACTCTATGTGAAAATATACACTCAACATCTCCTTATTCATATCATAATTTAAAGCACAGATAATATTAAACTCATAGTTCTGATTGCATTAAAATGCTAAAATTTATGATAGCCAACCCAAGTTGCCAGACGGTATCTTTTGTGGCGTCGTGCTTGTCAACTCGCTGTAATATTTTACTGTTGATTATTGAGTTTTACTTTGCTTTTGACTGTTCATTATTCTGAATTAACTGGACAGTATTTTATTAGATACAGGGATTGTTTTAAACTCATATTGGAAATGTAAAGTAAATGTTAGCAACTATTTCATGAATGCAATTGAACAGGGGCAGAAGATCAAATGGAGGAAGTATTCAAGGTTCTGCTGATGGTTCAGAGTTCCTTTATTATTAAAGGTATTATAAGGTCTTAAATGGTAAACCTGAAATATTGTATAAATACTAATTTGTTATTTTCAGTATTTTTTTTCATAGTGGAAATAGTTAAGGTTTGTTTTTCTCAAAGACTGATTTTATAAAAATGCATAGTTATGATCTATTTTTATTCTTATCAAAGGAACCTTTTTACGTACCCACATGGTCACACAGAAGGACCCCTGGTTCAGGAAACAGCTTTGGGGTTTGCCTTTTCTTCCCTGCAGCATAGTGGTGCAGGGCCGCCGGGTGCGTGCAGCAGAGTCCCTGCTCCAGCTGTACTAGCCGCACACCAGCAGACAGCAGGGCTTGTCTGAGTGGTTGAGTATGGATAGCATTTCATTTAGCCTTTGCTCTGACAGCCCATGCCCTGGATAAGTGGTGTAGGCCTGTACAGGTGAAATCTATTCTCACTTTTGCCTCAGGGGTGACTGGACTGTAACAGAATTTTTCAAACCCGTTGGGCCCAACCGCAAAGCAGAGAATAAATGGCTGAAGTGCCAGGCCTCGACAGAAAAATCAATGCCTGGTTATACAGACATGACAGACCAGGCCTGCAGTGCTCCTCGCAGAGGCTGCATGTGCACCGCACCTCAGGGTTCGCACACGCACTGCCTGGGGCCCTCGGTGCTGGTGTGGGCCATATTTACATTGTTTTCTCTCTCCTTCATGCAGGAAATTTACATGCCACTTATGTGATAGAAGTTTCACAGAGAAGTGGGCCCTGAACAACCACATGAAACTCCACACGGGAGAAAAGCCGTTTAAATGTACCTGGCCCACGTGCCATTACTCATTCCTCACAGCCTCCGCAATGAAAGACCACTACAGGACGCACACAGGTGTGCCGCGCCGCCTTCCTGTCCCATGAGGCTGGGCAGAGGTAGACTGGGTGGACTGTGGGGACAGAGGCATTAATTATCCCATCTTCATAGTAATCAATGGAAATGATGTCCTGCTTTAAGATTGTGGTAATTATATATTTATAGGTATGGTATCATTTCATTATTTTTCAGGGAGAAGGCAATTGTAAAGTGACATTTGTGCTTCCGTGTGAATGTGTTTACATAAAATAAGTTTATATTTAGAAGCTCATTTATGGTGGGTGTTTGTATATGTATATATATTTGTATGTGTTTAACGCATCTTTTTAGAAGATCTTTATAGAAGGTCATATGGAGAGTTTAAGTTTTCAAAGAGAATTAGTCTTGTGTTTTGTTACTGATGTAAACAAATTTCCATAATATGTTTGAACATTAGTGAATCTTGGTTTCTCATGTACCATTTTAAGAAACTAGTTTTTCTTCTGAGGAGGATACTATCAGATCCAAGAGTTTTTGATAATATATACAAATACTTTGATAATTGATACAAAGACACTAATCCACTTTTAGCTACTGTAATTTTTTTGGAAATTATTAAAAATGTTCAAATTCACGTACATTTCACATCAGAACATGTAACAGAGGGTGTGGAATTCCCGTGAATTGACAGGCAAAGCAACACTGAGAGTGCATCTTTGATAGGGGTGGTCCCAGAACTCCCAGTTGGGCCCTTGTAAGTGTAAATCCCAGTAAGACCCTATTGTGATGTTTGTGATTTCTTTTTCATAGTCTAAGTCTAGTGGGCCCAAAACTTCCTCACAAGCTGATATTTGAGTCTCTCTCTCTAGCACTATGGCCACATTCCTGTGAGCTGTTTGATATTTTTTTGGTCTTCTTTCTCTTTACACCTTTCAGAATGTATTTTGTTTCAGAGAAGAAAAAATAATAAATTTTAATCAGCATTCCAAAATGTCCTTCTGATTGCCAAGAATTTTATATTATTGTTAGAAATCATAGGTTAAAAGTTCTTCTCAAGCAGTTTGTGGGAAGCCCAGGCCTCCTTAGCTTCCTTGACAAGGGTGTTGACGATTTAAGGTCTCCAGCCTGCCCTGAGAGATCACTTATATCGAACAGCAGATGAAAAGCCAGTGCAGATGTAATTTATCGTCGGCGTTTCCTTCTAAAGAATAATTGTGGAGACTTGGCTGGATCAATAATATAGATTTTTGTTGTTAGGTCTTGTAGTCTGCACCATAATGAGAGATAGGGGACAGTGGCTGTTTTCTAATAGAAAATAAAGGATTAGTTTCCGTGTCTTTCTACATTTGAATGCAAAATGGCACACTTGAAACTAATTCAAGCTGTTACAAAAATAAGTCTCCCATTATATCTCTGCTATCATATAAATAGGGCATGCTGAATGAACCCCCTCTAAATTCAGGAAATTGTACCTTTAGTTTTTTTCTTAAAATTTTTTTTCTCAAAAAACACTCCATTTGGCTGCTGATCAACTCTAACACCCCAACCCACTCCAAAAAAAAAAAAAAAATGGCAAGTGAAAATTGAGTTTAGAATGAAAAACAAATCAAGCCACCTAGGCAAATATGATATCCATTGGAGACTAACATCCTGAATAAAACCGTACACACAAAAAAATCAAGGTCACTAATGTATTGAGAATCAAATCACATAGAAAATTAATAATTTTGTGTTTTTGTATGGATAAATCTCATGATAGGGAAAGGAATAAAAATATATAAAAATATATACAGCATATATGTAAATTGCAGCATCTATGCATGTAGAAAATATAAATCTTAAGAGAGATTTTCTATGCTTGTTCATGTTTTTATTTCACAAGATGCAGGCCACAAAGAAGTTCATAAATGACAGAAAGGAAGAATACTTGAATCCAGAAGTCCTAAGATTGCGCTTTCCTCATTAGAAATGTTGCCTATTGAATGATACGGCACTGCCACTGCCACTAGCACACACCACCAGATGCGTGTGTGGTGCTGCACACACACTCCTCATACGCACAGCAGGCAGCACCCATGGACCCGCAACAAGGAATTGATTGGAGGGAACGATTTTGCCTCAACATAGAAAACTGTGTTAATATTAACGAGCAAATTGTCTTGTGGGATTAAAAAAAGTCTACTTTCAGTGTTATTTAATTGATAATACAGCTAGTTAGAAAGATTTATTTCAAATCGATTAAATAATTAAATGAGTGATTATAATTAAACTATTCTTTACAGCCCATCTACTCTATTCTTTCTATATTGAAATAATAATACCAAGGAATAAACTTAGCTGCAAAATAGGAAACTAAAGATAGCAAAAATAGTTAAATTCAGCCTTATTTTTAAAATGATAATAATGAACATTTTAACATACCCTTACGAAATTAGATTAAGCATAATTTGGTTAAAACTCTCTTGAAGTATATGTGTTCGTTGAAAGTAGAAAAGCCAGTAATGTTCTTAAGTAAAGGGAAGACTCTTTTGATGACTGAAGTTATTCTCCCTGTATGTGCTATTTATTAGAACCTTAAAAAGGCAATTATAATTTCCAAAATGCTGCAAGTTAAGTTTCTGTTATGATATACCAAAGTGATTGGGAACAACACAGCCTGACTCTGGCCAAACTCTTGAAAGACTTGTTGCATTAAATGTCTAAATGAGTAAAGTAGGTAAAGATAGATACATATGATTTATTTTATTTCTGGAAAGCATTTTATAATTTCACTGAATCTCTCTAAGGTTGGCATTTTTCTTCTGTTTTGCCTTTCTTTGTGAGTCTTATGGGATGATCTGCCTAGCTGGCCAGCACTTACTGCCTAAATATGCTGCAGTGGAAAGATAGATTGCATTTATAAACTGTAGGGCAAATGTTAGCTTGTGTAAAAGTGCTTAAAAAATGAGCATTTGCACACATTTAACAAATACTAAGTCTGCCAAATCTGTCCCTAAGTGTTGCAAAGGTTTCCAATCCAGAGCTATCATTAAAGATGAATAGTATGAATTTTTGTACAATTTCTTTAGCAATCCCCAGACTTTCTTTTTTATGCCGTAAAAGCGAGAAACATAAACAGCATGGAATTGCTGTTGGTACTAATATAGATTTTATTGTTACTTGGGATCTTCAGCATGTTCAAGGAAACCATTTAATTCATATTATTAAGAAGGAAGTGATTAAGGAAGACCCTAATAGAATCAGGTAGAACCAATTCAATATCCTTAAGTTGTTGGAAAATTCAATCTGTTTTCTTTAAGCAGAACCATATATACTGTATATTAACTATTCCAAGCAATCTTTACCCAGCTCAGAAAGGCCAGATGTATGGGAATTGTAAAAAATCAGGATATGCATAAAAACTGTTCAAGTGCATAAAGCAGCCCCATCTGGAAGACATCTACCAGAAATGAAGTTGTACAAAACCATTCCATTGATAATAAAGCTAATTTTTATGGGTCTGACAAGTATGTAATTATGTTCAGTGGTGCTTTTCAGATTTTATCACAGTCAATAAACCGCAGTGGTAATTTCATTCCCATTTGACATATTTACATGGAAACATTTGATTGGAGGAATTAGTAACCCTGAAAGCCTTGATAGATATGTTTTAATGATCTGTGACCTCCGCAGTCCCTCATCTGTTTATTGTTGCAACAGGCGAGAAGTCGTTTCTATGTGACCTCTGCGGCTTTGCCGGCGGGACCCGCCACGCCCTCACCAAGCATCGCCGGCAGCACACAGGTCAGTTCCGCGTCTGCACTGGCCCCTTCTCTGCAGAGAGGATGGCAAGGCGGCAGACACCCCAACCTCAATTCTTGATGTCGTCAATTACTTTCCTTTTTAATTTTTGTAACATCTGTGCACTTGAAGGTCTACAGATAATTCTAGTCGAATAACATACGATTTTAAATCATCTGTTTTTATATATTTAAAATGTAGACATATTCCATATTTCAAGAAGCAGGTACCCTCAGTAAATTCATGTTAAGTAGAAGTAAAACAGCAGGTTGGCTTCCAAAGATACAGGAGACTATCTTCTCTGTCGGCAAATCTCTGCCTTAGGCCTTGTGGGTGGAAAATGGGGAGTCTTTGTCAGCCAGACTCCCTCTCAGTCATTCTCTCTACCCACCTAGTAGCTAATCACCCGCCTCCCTATTTCGGTAGCTACATGTCTACCCCCTCCCTTCCTCTCTGTCTCTCTGCCTACCTCCCTGTCTCCCTCCCCACCCTCCTGTCTGTCAATCCATCTGTGATAGGATTTGAAGTCAATGCTGTTTCAATTGTTCTTGGTATTAAAAATAGAAGACATCAAAAAGCAACGTAAGAGTTAATTATGGTCATTGTAGAGGACTTTTTTTTCTCCATGATGTACATTCTTGGTGATTCATTGAAATAAAATAGATTCCTTGATTAGGAACTGTATTAGTCTGTTTTCACACTGCTGATAAACACATACCCGAGACTGGGCAATTTACAAAAGAAAGCGGTTTATTGGACTTAATAGTTCCACTTGGCTGGGGAGACCTCACAATCATGGCGGAAGGTGAAAGGCACGTCTTACGTGGCGACAGACAAGAGAAGAGAGCTTGCACGGGGAAACTCCCCTTTTGAAAACCATCAGGTCTTGTGAGACTTATTCACTATCAGGGGAACAGCACGAGGAAGACCTGCTCCCACGATTCAGTTACCTCCCACCAGGTATCTCCCACAACGTGGGAATTTAAGATGAGATTTGGGTGGCGACCCAGCCAAACCGTATCAGGAACACTTCAGGATGAAAAGTGTTAAACATTTATCAAATTGTATTACCTACTTTATATAATCTAATGGGTCTTATGAGTAATTATTTTCATAATACTAATTTATGTGTGCCTAGGACAGTGCTGATTTATGGTAGTTTCTTGTAATTATTAATGGAACCACTTTTTACTCTAAAATGTGTCCTAGTTCAGATGATAAGTCACTTAATGACAAAATTGGTAACTAAATGTCCTACTTTTCTTTAGGTCTCATGAGAATGGTTTGAGTTCGTCAGTCATACTCAAAATGGCATGAAATTAAAATACATAAAATGTGTGATTTATGGTACATTAACGATTCTTGATATGTTGTATTTAACAAGTTAGGTACAAGTAGCTTCATTGCCCAATATGGCATTTGCAAGATCAATGCAAACTAATGCCAACCATTCCTTTTAGATGTGTGAATATCATTCAGATTTTCAAAAGGGGTATGAATTATTGAGTTAATGGGAAATTCAGTGTTTAGCATAATGTTGGAAACATAAACTAAACTTTGAAAACAAGGTCCATTTTAAGTTTATAGAAGCCACCTGTGCATGCATGATTTTAATCCACTGGCTTAAGGATTCAGCATAAGAGATGACAGGAGGGGCCCAGATCGTGGCAATTGTTCTTGACCACTGTTGTGACGGAGTTGGAAATTGGAAATAGTTATGGTAACAGTATGCTCCTCAGGGTTTTTTTAGTCTTAATGTTTTCATTTTATCAGTGCTCAAATTGTTACTGTTTAAATGCCATTGAAGTTCACCTTGTCCCACCTGGTATGGCCCCAGGGAACAACAGACTGCTGTGCCACCTCTGCCAGTGGGCAGGTCAGTGCCCATCGCAGTGGAGACAGGAATGCTGTGATGACAGGCATTCCCAGTGATAGATCGATCAGGAAGCCTGCACTGAGCTGGCACAACTTTATATTTTATGTCAGGTCCAGAGGCTCCTTATTACTTTGCTATTAACTTTATACCATATAGGACAATGTCTCACAGACAGAGGTATCTGTCTTTTTGGCATTTATCTGCCTCTGTAGCACAAATCAAACATGATTCTTTAACACCAAAGTCAGTTCTTAAGACCATTTGCTTCAACAAAACAGCTAAGCACAACTCAGTCTAGGCACTTAACTTTTGTGCTGGATTTAAAATATTTAAGCAACACGCAACCTTTTTCCCCCAAGGCCAGACTTGTATGGTGCATTTAAAATCTATATTTCTCTGATGTATTCCTCTTTGACATGGTTTACCTTTTTACCACAGAGTACCCACGCAAATTATAATCAGCTTGGAAAGGGATAGGTATCAAAAGTGCTCCAAATGGTGTAAATAATTCCTCACCGCAATACAGACTGTCCAGGGAGCTGACACAAAACATCTTCCATTCTGAGATTTACTTTTATCACCTGTCAGGGACCCTTGATTCAAGGGCACAGGAGCAGATCCTCACGTGTGGTTGAACAGTCTTGGCCAGCTTAATAACCACCAGCCCGCCCAGAGGAATGTGAGTGTGTGTTTCCGTGAGACGCGGTCAGCCCATCTGACGGACACTTGACACACAAAGGACACCGCACTATGACAACAGCCCTTCTGCTGTTCATCCTCTGGCTTTCCTTATCAATGGGGCCTGAGATGCAGTAGGTTTCTTAATGGTGATTTGAGCCAAGATTACTGCTTGTAACAGAAAGTGTGAAAAGCCACACAATTTAAACTAATAGGTACTGTTATGTAAGAGGGAAATAGGAGGAAAGGAAATTTCATCCTTGTTCTGCTTTTTGGAAAAGCACATATACAGGTAGCCCTATTGGCTTACAGATAACATTGTTTGAGAGTAGTCAATATCTTACTTAGATTTATGCATCCTTTTGCCTTTGAAATGACAAAAAATTTCAAAGCGGCACTTTTACCAATATGCACCAAACCTGTTTGATCAGTCTGCCATCAGTTTTTCCTTAACAGGTATATATCTTTTCATATAATGTATGTCATCTTCAAACCATTAGCAAATATTTAGCAAACTTAAATTCTTATTTCAAATGTGTGATATTTTCTTTCAAACTTTACAATCTAGAAGTCAGGTCTATATTTTTGTCTACATATTGAGACTAACAAATACAAAACTCCTTCTATATTTCTGTAGTGTATTTTCTCAAAGAAATTACCCATAAAAGAGAAGAAGAATTACCAAATTATGTGTTAGAGTGATAGTGTTGAACATGTATCTGATTGGTGAGTTACAAATTAACTATTATATACAGATTTGAATAATCTGTGGTTGTATAAATTGACATGGACTTAAACTATCAAGAGCTCAGTTGTGTGAGCCTTGCTTAGCATAGGATTTTATGTGCCATGATATTTTTGTAGCATTATATTTTTCCCTGTCATCCTGTATATAATTCAAACTCGCTTAATATTACACAGTGTAATCTATTGTATGGTCAAAGGAAATATGAAAAGACCATTTATAATTTATTACAATATAATACTAGGTTAATGTGAACTATAGAGAATATATATGACATTATTCTTTAGAAGGATTGTTTTTAAATTTAAATTTTGTCACATAAAGATTTTCATGTAAGTTTAAATAAAATGAGCTACATTAAACAGAGTTTTTAAAAAGGTTGTGTTAAACTACGAAACCAAGAAAATGAAGCTCAGAGGTCTTAGATGACCTTTAATTTATACCATTGACTTAGGCAGTGGAGTTCATGATGTCATCCTTTTACCCCACTTCAAATATCAGCAGAATCTATGAAAAAATGAATAGTTTGAGGACACCTACCAATACTATTACAATATACAAAAGAGCAGTGAGTTATAAGGCCAAAACATTTTATAAACACTTAGATTGAATGGAATAAGGAGACATCAGAATATATTTGTGAATTTTCATAATGAATAAAATCTTTTTTTGTTTTTGTTTTTGTTTTTGTTTTTTTCTTTTTGAGACGGCGTCTCGCCCTGTCACCCAGGCTGGAGTGCAGTGGCGCGATCTCAGCTCACTGCAAGCTCCGCCTCCCGGGTTCACGCCATTCTCCTGCCTCAGCCTCCCGAGTAGTGGGGACTACAGGTGCCCGCCACCGTGCCCAGCTAATTTTGAACAAAATGTTTAAATTGCTTGACCACTTAGACTTATATTATTAAAAGTAGAAGATTTATACTACCTACCTAAGTCTTATTTATACAGCTACCATAATCATAATTGTATTTTGGGGGTATAAAGATGGCACACAGACCAATAGAACAGAATAGCATCCAAAAATAGACCTGTGCATCTTTTTGTCAATTGTTTTTAAATAAGGCACCATATTTAAAGATAAATTTAACAAATGGTGTGCGAAACCCTAATGATGGAAACGTCAGAACACTGCTGAGAGAAATTGAAGAACACCTGAACAGGGCGATGTACCAAGTTTATAGATTAGACAATTTAATATTATTAGGATTTCCATTTCATTCTCATCCATCAATCCAAATTCCATCAGGCTATTTTTCTTAAAGATGTTGACAAGCTGATATTAAAATTTATATGAAAATTCAAAGGCTTGAAATAAGTCACCAACATTGAGAAAGATAGGAGGATTTACACTTCTTGATGTCAAGACTTCTTATGAAGTTGCAGTAATGAAACTCTTCTGGTATTGGCATCAAGATAGTCAAATGTTTGTCAGTGGAAGACAATGGAGATTACAGAAATAGACCTATACTACATGGGAATTGTTTTTTTTTTTGTTTTTTTTTTTACAAAGGAGCAAAGGCAATTTAGTTTTTTCAACGTTCTATGTTGGAGCAGTTGGCTATCTATGTGCAATGAAAATGAACTTTGACCCATACTTTGTACCGTATACAAAAATTAACTCAAAATGATCGTAATCTAAATGTAAAACTTAAAACTATATAAATTCTAGAAGAAAACATAGGTGAAAATTATTTCTGACTTTGGATTATCAATGATTTCTTTGATATGACATCAGTAGCCTGATTTATAAAATAAAAAATAACCTGAAAAATTATGTTGATAAATTGAAAACTTTGTAAAGTAAAACTTCTCTTTAAAAGGCACTGTAAACAGACTTAAGATACATGACAGAGAAAGTATATATAAGTGACCAATTTTATAAATAATTTTTATCCAGAATATGTAAAGAACTTTCAAAACACAATCCTGAGAAAGCAAACAACCATTTAAAAATAAATCAAAAAGTTGAAGCAGATATTTCCCCAAAGAATATAAAGGTATGGCAGGTGAGCACATGGAAAGATCCTCGGCACCCTCAGAGGAATGCAGGTGTAAAGCGTTGACTACAACAAGTGTTGGCGGGGATTTGAAGCAAGTCATACATAGCTGGTAGGAATGTAAAATGTTCAGACCACTTTGTGAAACAGTGTGGCAGTTTCTTACAAAACAAAATATATACCTACCATATTATACACATATACCTATCATCCTCCAGGATTTACCCAAGGGATGAGGAAATATATGTTCATATAATGACTGCATGTGAAGGCTCAGAGAAGATTTATTTGTTGTAGTAGCCAAAAATGGAAACAACCCAAATGTCCTTCAGTAGACAAACGGATGATCAAACTTGGTACACCCGTATAATGGAATACTACTCTGCAATGAAAATAAATGAAGTATTTATACTCATAGTAACATGGATGAGTCAGAAAATAATTATGCTGAGAGAAGGAGTCCAGACAGTAGAGAATTCATACCATAAGTATGTAGGTACATAAATTTCTAGGAAATGCTAACTAATATAATGGTGACAGAAAGCGTGGTGGCTTGACAAAGGGATGAACAGGGAACCGGGAAGTTAAAAGGAGTCCTTTTGGGGGTGATGGTTGTGTTCATGATCTTGATTGTGGCAGAGTTTCATCAATAACAAAACTTACCAAATGGACGTTTTTGTGTGTCAATTATGCCTCATTGAAGCTGTTTAAAATGCTTTAGACATTCGGCCTCATATGGGCAGTCTAGACAGATATAAGTCAAGTTAGTAAAATAATTTATGTGTCATTTTATCTAGACCAGTGCTTCCTTTGTGTTTCTGTTTGTCATGTGTACTGCACTTTGACATTGGTGTGCATTAAATTACTATTTATTTGTTTAAATGAACAAAATCAAATCTTATAGATGCTATGTGTGGATGTTCATATGATTTCATGATACAGAATATTCCTGTGTCAAATTTGAATAGCTTCAGCTATTTTTTATTCTTATGCAGTATGAATATCATATATTTTCCATCAAATTAAAGCAAAATCTGCCATCATCATAAAAGTAAATTTGTGTGTAAGTCATTTCAGTACAATTGAGCTGTCTATAGCAATTTAAGTCATTTGACCAGAGGTTTAGAGACTGAGAACAAAGAGTTATTCAAGCAGACCTTGGGTGACCACTTGAATAGGGTACTATAGATGGGATTTATCTTAAAGACAAAAGGCTGAAAGAGACAAAAATCCCTTTCAGTTCAGATTTTTACTCTGCTTGGTATATAGTCTTTAAAAAAAAAATAAGTCAAATATTTCCTGGTAGGATCTGTTAAGTGATATCTTTATGTCATATTCAGTAACTATGCAAAACCATGAATTATTTTATGTTTGCTAGCTGTTCATCTTTTTCCTGGTTATGAGCTCTTGATGAGAAGCATTTGTGTGCTTCTTTCATCTTTGGCAGAGACTTGTTGACAATTACCAGTGTTTAGGCAGTTCTGTCATCATAATGATAAAAGCCACTGGCTATTGAGAACTCTGTGTTAAAGTATACTCTTTCCGTAGTTTTTGTTGTCTTTAATCCTCACAATCACCCTGCATGTTTGGTGGTATTATCCTCTTGATCTTGTTCAAAGGGTCTAACAGGTAGCAAGTGAAATATGGCAAAACTAGGATCAGAATTGAAGTCCATCTGGCTTCATCTAACTACTGTGCTGCACTAAGAGAGAAGATACCACCAAATGGGTTGCGTATGGATTCAGTTAAATGTTACTACAATTATGTGTAAGCAGTATAAATAGACATAGAATGTAGGGCGAACTTCTAAACGTTCTAATATTCAGGACAGATACGGTTTTGTTGATAGCCGAATTGATAGAGAGTAATTTTAAAGTAAGATATTTTACTCCTCATTTTCTAAGTAAGTCAGTATACTCATACAGCAATCACAAAAACATGGAAAGTAAGAAATAACAAGTAGAGTTATTGAACATATGTAAAATTAATCCATCTTATATGTAAAATTTGCCAGGAAAAATGTTGAGAACAATATTACTATAGATTTTTTTTTTTTTTGAGAGTAGGAGAGTGAGGTTTTTTCTAAATCATTACTGTCTGATACACATGTAATGTGATGTATACATGTATAATACTGTTTCCTGGTAGCCGTATTTAAAAAAAAGAAAACGTAACAGGTGTAAACATTTTTACAACAGTTAATTTAACCAAATTCAAATTATTATAATTTCTACATCAAATCAATGTAACATTATTAACAATATTTTTGTTATAATCTTTGTACTGCGATTTTGAAATTTGGTATTTTACAATTTAGAACATCTCAATTCAGAGGCTAAATTTTCATCTGAAATGTATGGTCTATATTTAGATTTGATAAAAGTTACACTTCAAAAAGTAGATTCACATTCCCAAGCTGTTCCAACCATATTTAAACATTTTTTCAATAGCTCAGTTGAGTATCAGTTTTTACATTTAAATTTACATTAATTAAAATTAAATATCCTTGTTTTCAGTGCCTACCAGCCAATGCAGCTAGTGGAATTAAAAGCTGATAAGACCTGATGATTCTTTGAATGTGTGTGGGATGGGGAGGAATGATTTAAAGGAGAGGGAGGTGTCAAATGAAGGAAGGAAATACTTTGTTCAAGATACCAGTATGCTATTTCACTATCTTCCTGTCCTTGGCAAGCCATGAACTTCTCATGGGTGGAATGGTTACATTTTATAAGCACGTTCACACACACACACACACACACACACACACAGTCAAGCATCACATAACCTTTTGGTCGATGACAGACCACATACACAATGGTGGTCCCATGAGATTATAACGCTGTCTTTTTACTGTACCTTTTCTGTGTTTAGATGTGTTTAGCTACACAGATACTTATTGTGTTACAGTTGCCTACAGTATTTAGTACAGTAGCATGCTGTACAGGTTTGTAGCCCAGGAGGAATAGGCTACACCATCTAGGTAGGTGTGTAGTAGGCTGTGCCATCTACGTTTGTATAAGTGCGTGCAGGATATTCTCACTACAATGCAATCGCCTAATCATACGTTGCTTAGAACCTGTCCCTGCCATTAAGCGCTGCGTAGCTATGTCTGTCTGTCTATTTAACTATGTCTGTCTGTCTACTTACGTGTCTGTTATATCTACACAGGGTTGGTATATTTTAATGTGGTATTAAATATTCTAAATATTTCTTTGGGGCCTCTTTTTACTCAGCTTAATACAGTGGTTTTTTTTGTTGTTGCTTCTGACACTTTTTAAAGTGGTGCCTATTTATAGCTTGATTTTATTTATTTTTCCTCATATCTAATGTTAAGATTTTACTCAGTTTTAAATTATATATTCACGGTATATCTCTGTTATATGCCTATCCTTGGTTTTAACCTAAGATTTTTTTAGTGGCTCTGATGTCACATGGTTTATTAAACCATTATAAATACAGTGCTGAACCATCCATAGAATTTAGATTCCTGTTTATGTAAAATGAACCTTAACCATATAATCTATACTTTGCTTACGTTCTAATATAGAAACAAAAATCAATGATATCTTCTAATTTTCTCACTCTGAGAATAAATATTCAAATGTCCTAAATGTGTGAAGTCCATTGAATCATATTCTTGGCATTTCATGGAAATAAGTGTTTTTTAAATTGTCAGTGCCAGGTTTATTCCTTCATTTCTAGTTACTATTATTCATCTATAACATTTCTTGATATATTACAGGAGAAAAACCTTTCAAATGCGATGAGTGTAACTTTGCCTCCACAACTCAGTCCCATTTGACTCGGCACAAACGTGTACACACTGGAGAAAAGCCCTACAGATGCCCCTGGTGTGACTACAGGTAATGACTCATCACTGAGCAGTCAAATCAGGTGGGCCGCCATGATGGATTAAAAGCCTGTTAAATCCCAATTAGAAGTATAGTTTTTCTAATCACCATGAATCCATATATTAGGTTGGGAGCTAATTACCTAATTTTAGTGACTTTTAAAAATAAGCTATATTTTAAAGTGGTTTTAGGTTCACAATAAAATGGAGAGGATGGTCCAGAAATGGGTCGTGTATCCCTTACCCCGCACATGTAGAGCCTCTTCCGTTATCAACATTCCCCAGCAGGCGGTCCATGCGTTACAGCCAATGAACCTGCATTGACATTTTTCTCACCCAGAGTCTGTACTTTCAATTGGGATTCACTCTGGATGGTGAACATTCTGTGGGTTCCGACAAATTTATGACATGTCTCTGCTATTATAATATCATGCATAATTTAGTTACTGTTTAAAAAACATAACATTCTTTTCCATTTTCTATAATCTTAACTTTTAGATTTTATACTTTTATCTTACAACTGCTTTTCCACTGATTTTATTGCATTTCTCAAAGTAAGGAAACCATTTTAATTAATCAGTTATTCAACCCATTTATGATGTCTTGTCTAGACTAAAGCACTGATTTATGGCAATGAAGATGATACAAGAAATTTTCCTGCCTTTAAGGATATAGCATAAAAAGTGACTCAATATTTATAAGTAATTATAATACAGATTTGAATGGGAAAAGAGAGAGGCCAGGGGAGTACATAAAGAAGGATTATGTTGAACCCAGGTGAAGTTCTCACAGAGGAGACAGCATCTCAGCCATGGCATAAAAAATGGTAAAATTATTTCCAGGACCCAATCCACGTGTGTTCTGAAAGGATGAGGAGGGGTTGACACCTCGTAGCATGTTAGTGCTGAAGGCATCTTGGAGCTCATGGATGTTCAGTGCACTCACTTGCATCCACAGTGGCCGAGTGATGTCTGCTAGGTCGCAGAGTTACTTAGTGGCGGCAGCGAAGCCGTGGTGCAGAAGAGTATGAGATAGACTCAGACAATGCTAAATCGTCCTCTCAAGTACTTGTTAAGGTATGTGTAGAGAGGCATCGTGGAAGATCAGGTGGAGCATAGAGCTTGCAGCCAGGTCACATTGCACCTGAAGCCTGCAAGAGTGAGATTGGACCCCATGTGGTGGTCTATGGGACCCCACATAGTTTGCAGGCAGCTGAATGACATCTGTCTTAAGAAGCCTCACCTCAATGATGAGAGCCTTCCTTATCCTGGAGCTGAAGATCTCCATTGTGCTCAACCCACATGATGACATGAAATTGAGGGTGTGTCTTTAAATGCAGCCCACTTTTGTTGACTATTATGTATGCTAAGCCTGAAAACTTTAAAAAGTTAGGTTTTTGTGTTCCTGTGGATCTAGCCTATGCATTTAGCAAATATATTGCCATAATTTCTATTATCAGCCACATTATTGCATTAAGTTTTATGTGAAAGGTCATCATATAGTACAGAGATATTACAGATATATTTCATTCATTAATTATTCATTCATTCAACATTTTATGAGTTCTGTCTTCGCTTAACACTGGATTGGTGTTTCTTGGAAATTTGGTAAAATGGTGATCTAATTAGAGGTAGACATAGAAATTCTATGGTGCTTATAATATGGGTTCTTTAAAAAACAAACATTATTAAATGTTCTTTTTCCTTATTAAAGAGATCATGTAGCAGTTGAAGTTCCTGTAAAACACAGAAAAGCAATTAGAAAATTGTAAGAATTTCCTTCCATTTTCCCGCTTACCTCTTAGGATTCTACCCGGTCAGTTTTACTGTATGCATGAGGTTCTTACTGCTGTTGTCGGTGGGGAATTAATTATTTTGTTTCAGTGTGTATATATATATATATATATATATATATATATATATATATATATATATATATATATATATTTTTTTTTTTTTTTTTTTTTTTTTTTTTTGAGACGGAGTCTTGCTCTGTCGCCCAGGCTGGAGCGCAGTGACCGGATCTCGGCTCACTGCAAGCTCCGCCTCCCGGGTTTACGCCATTCTCCTGCCTCAGCATCCCAAGTAGCTGGGACTACAGGCGCCCGCCACCTCGCCCGGCTAGTTTTTTTGTATTTTTTTAGTAGAGACGGGGTTTCACTGTGTTAGCCAGGATGGTCTCGATCTCCTGACCTCGTGATCCGCCCGTCTCGGCCTCCCAAAGTGCTGGGATTACAGGCTTGAGCCACCGCGCCCGGCCTATATATTTTTTTATACTTAAAAAATTATAAATACCTCTCCATGTGAATAATTATTCTCCTACATAACTACTTTATAGTCTTCAAACTTTTCTTTTTAAGCAGCAGGATTCTGATTTCAAACAAGATTATATATAAAATTCCACAAATAAAACAGAGAAAAGCGTTACCCACTTATAAGTAGATTTAATCATTAAAAATCTGTATTTACTTATTGTAACATTAAACATAGCACAAGACTGTTTTGACAAGCCACACATTTTTAAATAGGAGGAGTTGTTGATAACAATTGCCAGTTAGCCGCAGCATCCAGTTTCTGTGTTTGGTATGAGCACAGCACAAGGGTGTCATGAGGAGTGCAAGCCGTGTGGAGAACCTGGGCTCAGCACTGCTTAGCTGTGGGGCCGTGGTCAAACTATTGAGTGAAGTGCCACTTTCTCGTTTGTAAATTGTGGGTTCTTAGTGGACCAGCCTCGTAGGATTATGGTGAATATTAGGTGAGAAGCACTTTGAAGTCACTTAGCCAGAGTCTGGCAGGTCAGTCACTTGCTGAACGTTCGCCCTGGTTCTCACTGTCATCTCAGGCGAATGTTTTGTCATGGTTTCAGGTTTTCCCTCACGTTTCCATCTCAGGAGACTGCTCAACAAGTTAATGCAGGAGTGTCAATGTCCTGAAGGTCTTCAGTGTGTTACAGTGTTGTTGTTAATACATGCCAATATGCTTTTTTTAAAAAACAGTTTTTGAAGTAGTTAAAAATTTATTAAATCCAAAATCAATTGTTGGATAATTGCTGAGAATACTTAACAGTTTCAAAATGCCTAGTTTTTAAACTACTGTTTTGAAATGAAATTTTAATAAGTACATGGCCCCAAGTTATATTGATGCACAATAATGAATTTATTAAGGTTTTGGACACATAAGCCATTTTCGGGCTTTTGCCCTGAAAATGCTTATGCCTAAATCTTTGTGCATGTTCCAGATTTTTTAAAATGCATTTCGAAAAGCGCGATTTAAGGCTTTTGATAGTATGGCTGGAAAGGTGGTGATTTTTTTCCTCTGATCAGTACTGTGCTTTGGTAGATTCATTTATGCATACAAGTATTTTACAGTATTTCAGGTTTTCTTGGTTTGAAAATATATTACACTTTTTACTAAGGTTGAGATCATATTACTCGTCCCATTTTCAAGTTATCTCCCTGAAATAACCTCACTTCTGTTTAGGACTGCATTTGAGCCAGCTGGATCCCATCCATGTTATACCTCTGTCAGGTACTACATTTAAAAGGATGGTATTTTCTAAGTGTATTGTTACTGTTCTCTAAATAAAAGACTTAAACGACATTGAAATCCAGTGATAGCTACCAAATTTCCCTTTGAAATGCTTAATGTGCATTATAAAAGAGTAATTTTTTACCTTTATTTAAAACTTTTGAATAATTGATTATTAATGAAAGTAAATGGACACTTTCTGTTCCTGGGACAGCTTCACCATTCTGCGTACCTGTGAATAGGCTTTCTTTTACTAGTGAACAAAAGGCAAGTTCACCTTGACCAGGAGTATAAAAAATTTGCAAAAGTTTGAATACTTCTGAAGTGAGAGAATATGAATGAAATATGGTTAGAACAGGTATCTTTACTTTCTTGTTGATGAAAAAAAGATTTAAAAATGAACAGATAGTTAAGTTTCCAAATACTGTTTTTGTTGCATATGATAATAGGAACAGGATCCCGTATTTACCTCACATAAATGTATTCTTTCACAGCATAAATAAATTTGAATATGTTATATTTTCATAGATTTAATAAGTCTTTAAGATGATCACATATTTCCTAAGAAGAAAATTATTTAATTTATTTTCGTATTTATCTCACTAGTTTATTTTCATTTTACTGCTCAAAATATGTAACTTCTAGTTTTATGTTTTTATTTGTGTAATATCAATAGATAAAAATTATTCCTGTGGAGTATTCCTGTATTTGCCATTATTAACACTTAATTTACAGGCAGCTTACCATCATTAGAAACTGAAATATTATTTAAATTTCATTTGAAAATGTATTTCTCATTTTATAAGTTGAACGTAGTGGAGAAATACTAGTAGTTATAATTATTCATGAAAAATACAAATATAGATTTGTTTACAAAAGAACTTTATAATTGGTCTTTTGAACCTGAGGCTATTTTTCAAGTTTGCATTATTAATTTAGGCAATGACATCTCATTCTATTTAAATGTAAACATGTACCCCCTTCATTAGCTTTTACTGTCTAAAATATCCAGAAGTCTAATCCATTACAAATCACTGTATTCAATCATTACTCCAAAACTTTTTTGCCATTTATTACTATTCATTATAATTTCAAAACACAAATTAGATTCATAGCACACTGGTCTAGAATATTATTTCTGTAGCAAATTCTTTAGATTTGTTTCTGCATTAAAATGAAAAAAAATAACATTTTTCTGTGTTTTTATTTTTCTTTGTTACATATCACCTCTGTATTAATGAGAATGAAATAGAAAAAAATTTAATGTGTTATAGTAAGTAAACTTTGGAATAGCATAAAATTCCTACTTTCTGAACATAGGGTTTTTAAATATTGAACTACGTTCTGTTTCACTCATCACACTGGCTTCCACATCAGAGTGGATGTGTTTCACTTTAGTGGCCTCAGTTGGGATTTTGTTTATGTGAAACTTATCTTCCCATTGGCTTCCATTTCTTCTCTATGATTTATAGGGGATATGTAATAA